GCCCATTATGCATGCATTCAACCTCATCCCTTGTTTGCTCATTAAAATTAAAATAACAAATCTCACATGCCTACCAAAGAATAAAACAATTATAGTCGAAAATCCCTCAAGTCTATTGAAATATTCACAAAAAGGCTCATTATCATATTGAGGAAATGATAGACATGCCATTTTTTCAACACAAAACAAAGAAAAGCAAACAAAAATCAAACTATACACAAAAACCTAGTTAATCTAATCAACATAAACTAATGAACGCCTTAGTCCCCGGCAACGGCGCAAAAAATTTGATCGCCGGATTATAGGTCGTGGTCTACTATCCTATATTCCTAATCTTACTCTACCAAGTTTACACAAGATAGTGGCAAGCTAGGGTCAAACCACAAGGACTAAGTGTATTAATTTGAGCTAATTAAACCAGTAGGAAGGATATGAGGTAGAGAGAGGGACAACTAAAACTCTACTTTAAATGGTCAACAAAATATTAGGGAAAGTGGAATCCAATTACTTTAATGAATTCAATAATAAATTGCAATTAGATGATCATGATCTCAATTAGGAACGATCAACACACTCAACTCAGTCCCACGCAATTAAGCATGTTAATTGTCCTACTAAGCTAATTCACTCCCGCGCAACTAGCCTAGCATAGGTTATGGAAGGATCTAGACTATCAATCAACTCACTTCCGCACAATTGATTAAAAGCACAATTAGAAACCTAGAATCAATTAGTTAAAAAGACTCAAGGCAATGTAAGCATTATCCATACACAATAATTAAGAATTAATTGCATACTAATCACAATCAATCATTCAATTCATCAATCATAACCTTCATCCATTTCCCTAGAAAAAAATCTAAGCAATCATAATGAAGAAAAACATGGAAAACAAGGTAAAACAAGAATTAAAGCAAGAATCAAACAAGTAATCTAATTATCTACTCTAATCAACAAAGAAATAAGCAAAAAAAACACAATTAAAGAAAGCAATAAAGGCGAGAGAAAGTTAGAAAGTCTCATTGAATAATTAAGAAGAGAATCCACATAAAAACTTCTTCAAGTTCTCAAATCTCCATTGAAATCCCAAGCTTTCTCTCTCTAAAACTACTCCTAAACTAGAGAGAGAAACTCCTAATCTAAGCCTAATCCTAATTAGAGGAGAGAAATAGTGTAAAAATCTGCTAAAAGAAGTCTCCCCTTACAAAATAGGGTCGTACACTATTTATATTACAAGAAAAAAAAGGAGAAAAATCAAAGATTAAGCGCGAAAATAACCTTGAACACCGCGCCCGCGTACCACATGGCCGCGCCTGCGGTGGGGCATCTCCAGGGCATCTACAGGAAGATGGACAAAACTGGAAACACGTAGCAGCTGCGCCCGCGATGGCCTGTGCTACCGCTTGGAGGGATGCTCGTGGGAGGGGGGGTTCTAGCCTTAATCGCTGCAATTGCTCAACTTCTTAGCTTCTTCTATTGAATTTTCCGGCCTTTACTCGGGTCGTAAACATCGAGGAAAGTGCCAAGTACCTAGCATTTGAACAAGAGAGAAAAGAATGAAAGATCACATAGAAAAGCACGCAAATCAAGGTAGAAATTGAGCAAAAAGCACATTATTCACAACTAAGGCCCAAAAACATAAACTAAGATAAACTTAACTAAAACAAGACTAAAAGGACTAGAAATAGCCACGATAGACAAAAATAAACCTAGACCTAAGGGAGTAAAACACCCTAAAATGTGTCATAAATGACACTTATCACCCATGAAGATTTGAAGATTCAAGCTTTTAGGGGTGATGCTAGTTTGCCAAATGCATCTTTATTTATGCCTTATATATTTTGCTTATATATCTAATTGCCATATTAGATGCATGTTTAGGATTTCGAATGTTGAATGATTAATTTAGTTCACTTAAATCAACCAACATAGAAACCCTAAGTCCCAAAGAATATTTAGTTAAATATGCCATTCCGAAATGACACTTATGGAACTAATGAGAATAGTAATGGGCTATGCCAAAGCAAGGCATGACTAATTTCCTAGGGAAGTAAGGTATGTTGGTGTGCTTGCTAAAGAAATACATCATATACACATTAGTTTTGGTTAAACTCAACGATATTAGTAAGGAGTCCTTAGATGTTGTGGCAAAGGAGATAATCGTTAAGGAAGCATTGGATGCGACGATTTATCGAACCAAGAGTAGCTTAGAGCTATTAGCAATTAGATTGCTTACCATAAAATATTAAGTGTTAAGACAAGCCAAAGCATGCTTAATCACGTTTTGATTTTTGGGGTCTCGGAATCGTTTTATTCTCGCCTAATTGGGACAAATTTATAAATGTCTGAATAGAACGTTAATAAGTTAATTGAAATTCCTAGTTTGCATGTATTTCAAAGCTTATTTTTTATGTTATTATCTTGATAAATGGTTATACTTTGCACTTATTTTTGTAGAATTCTAAATCAAATTATAATGTTTCCAACTATTGGTAAAAGGAAATCTTTTGATAATCGTTCTCAGGGAAAAAAGAGGCATTTCTAAAATACAACTTCTCATAAATGACTTTTGTGGCTCAAGTCCGAAAGGACGGTTGTACATAATGTATTCAAAATACTAGGTAGTTTTGATAAACATGAAGTATTGAGTTGAAAAACTCAAATTGTCAATAGTTGACAACCAACATATCTTTTCGCTTCATACTCTAATTCAAGTAATTCAAGTATGAATTAAAGGAAAAGATGAAACTTTGTTTTACGGCGCATTAGATTCTTAATTCACTACTACAAAATTGGCCAAAAGAATCACTAAAAAGAAACCCCTTTTATCAATTAAGGGGTTTCTTAATGGAAAAACCTATTTTTTCAAACAAGGGGTCTCTTATAAATGATTATAAGAAACCTCTTTTAAAGAAAAATGGTTCCTTAGTTTTTCTACGGAATTACTACTATTTAAGGAACCACCGTTTATAAAAGGGGGTTTCTTGTATTTTCATATAATATTAAATTAATTTGGCTCCCTCCTTTTGATGACTAACCCTAGTTATATCCCATATACCTAGCCGCCACCTTCTATTCTTCTCTTCTTTCTCTCTCTTTCGTCCCCCCTTTCTAAACAATCACTACATACCATTCCTCCATTGAAGCCTAGCCTACTCTAACTTATCTCTCTATTCAAGCGCATAGATCTAGTGCTTTCTCTTTTTGGTCTAGAATTCAAGGGAGCAATCAAAGGTAAGAGTTATCAATTATTTTTATAAGTTGTTTTTATTGTCATTTATATTTTCCTAAATCTAGTACTCTACCTTTTTTTTCCGTTTAATTTTGTGTTTAATCATCATTTCTAACGAATTTACTTTCGAATTTCATTGAATTTACTTTTGATCTTGGTAATTTATTTTCGTTTACATTTTTTTATCTCTTCATAAGTATCCCTAGCTAACCACACATAAAAATCCCAAGCATCATTGATTGACAATGCTCGAAATCTACCATTAAACATGCGTTCAATAATGTCTCTAGTTTGCTCATTCAACTCATGATAACAAATCTCACAAGCCTCTCGAAGTTCACAACCATGGTAACTAATGAAGTCCTCTAACCTATTAAAACACACCCAAAATGGCTCATTCTTAAATTGAGGAAACGAGGTTCTTGCCATTTTTTTTATTTTTTTTCACAAAACAAACAAAAATCAAATAAAAGAAAAGTAAATACAAAGACCAAGACTCAAGCAATAAAAAATACTCAAACATAGACATCGTTCCCCGGCAATGGCGCCATTTTGACGTAGGGTGAACTAGGTCGTTGACTAATCCTCCCTAGAGCCAAACAAAATTTATAATCCCTTAACAAACCTATATCCAAGTATAGAGGTAAGTCAAGGGTCAAACCACTAGGAACGGTTATGCCTAAGTGTTTCCAATTTATAATTTGCATTTTTCATTGTTTGTTTTCGTTTTTTTTATATTCGACTTTAATATATATTCGGATTTAATCTGCTATGTAATTTTGTTTTGAGATTATTGATTTTGTTTTTAACATTATTTTCAATTTTTAGTTTGAGTCTAATTTTCACTTTTTATATTTTTCAAAGTTGTTCATACTACTCTACTACTCTCTATATCTTGTTTTTGATATTCCATTCCAAAAATTTTAATTAATATAAGTTCGTATTTTATTTCTTTGTTCTTGTTTTAACCTTTAATTTATTAATTTGTTTAATTTTTGTGTTTTGTAGGTGGAAACAAATAATCAACAAAGGAATTAAGCATTTGAAGAATCTAACAGCACGATGGAAGTATTTCAATTTTTGTTTGGAGACAATCGTAATTTGTATAGAGGTTTTAGATAATTAGTTATAGTAAAAAATTTGATTATATGTATAATTTTATAGTAAATTATATACCAATAATGTCAAGTATATGAAATTTTTTATTTGACGTTGTAGTATTAATCATGTGGATTTTAACTGAATTGTTCATACAAAAGGGCATGAAATAGAGAAATACTGTATAATTTAATTATAGTATAATCATCATATATACGAAACAATATGTATTTGATAGTTATAGTATAATTTTTTTTAATCACGAACATAACAAAGACACCCCCTTCTTAGAAAGTGGTTTCTTGAGTATAATATAAGAAACCCCTTTTCTGGAAAAAGGGTTCCTTTAATTCTTTTATTAAATCAGTTCAGAAGCATTTAAGAAACCCCTTCTTCCAAAAAGGGCTTTCTTAAGTTGAGCAAACAAACCCCCTAAAAAAGGTGGTTTCTTAACTTAAGAGACCACTAAGCTTAAGACCCCCTCTATTGAGGTTTCTTAGGCCAATTTTAGTGGGTTTCTTTTCATGTTTTTGTAGTAGTGATTATGCCTAACAAAGTATAAAAGTTAAAACACTTAAAGAAATGGTTCTTAAAAGTTATGAGATGATGTATGATAAGAAATATAGGACAAGGAACATTGGAAAGGAATACGAGATTCCAATTCTACCTAAGAGTTCATGTTATCGTAGTTAAACTTAGCAACTCATTATCTTCACAAGTATCGAATATTGCTTGAGTGTTCTACTTTTAAAGTGACCTTAAACCATTGAAGCTTAAGCTAAGTTATTGAATTACAAGCTTGGAATGAACACTAGTAGAAAAAATGAAATAGGCACCCCCCCTTAGCACCGGTTCTTGAAAACTGATGCCAAAAAAAATTGGCGGGATTGAAAAATTCGGATTTAGCACCGGTTCACCTTAAACCGGTGCCAACTATGGTAATTAGCACCGGTTCAAACCGGTGCCAATTAAAAAAGACAAAAAAAACAAAAAAAAAAAAAAAAAAAACGGGGTATGCGTTACTCTGCTTCTTCATTCTCTTTCCTGTTCTTTTTCCATTTCCATTCTCTCTCTTCTCTCTCCTCATATGCTCTCCTCTCTCACCTCAACCAAACCTTCAGCCGCAGCCGCAGCCGCAACCGCAACCACCATGCACCGCTCACAGATTCTCTCTCCCCTTTTCTTTTCGTGCTCTCTCCTCTAGCCTCCTTTTACCCTATCAATCGTTTTCTAGGGTTTATCGCCCTTGTTATACCTCTAAATCTCAATCTCATATCCAATCACCTCTCTCTAATTTCTAGGGTTTCAAATTACAATGATGCTGCAATAATTGGAGGTTGTAGTTGGTGGTGATTAAATTGATGTTGTTGAACACAAAGAGGCAAACTAATATCAGTAGGCTACACTTCTTCTTTCTCGAGGTTTCTTCATCTTGCTCGATCTTTCACTCTATGTTACTCTCCTAATTAAAGTACTTATCGGTTTTTTAATTTCTGTAATTTCGATCAATTTCTGTCGTTTTCTAAGATATTAGGGTTTATTACTCTTATCTGGGTTTTCATTTCATTTTTTATCGGCCAATTTCTGAAGCATGCATATCATTTTATTTTTTATTCATATCATTTTTGATAATCTTGAAGCTGATTGATGGAAATGATTGATCTGGGTGTTTGTAATTCTTGTTAATTTTGTGTTTTTCTAGTGTTACTTTGATAATTATGAAGATCTGTCGTGATCAGTTTTGTGGGTTTTTTTTTATTGAATTAGTTTTGTGACCGATTTGAATTAGAGATCTATTCAATTAGTTATTTTATTTAAGTTCAGTGATTACTGGGGCTCTTTGTTTGTGCTTATGAATTAGAGAATTACTAAATTAATTTTGTGGGGTTGTTGAATTTGATAATTTACTGATAAATTTAGGTGTATTAATTTGATGCTTTATCAGGTTAAAGTTAGAATTTAATTTGCTGAAATTATTACAGTTGAGGTAGTGTTTTATGCTTATTGTGTTACCTTGAATTTACAGATTAAAAGTTGTTGCTGCATTTTACTTAGATTTGTAGATTTGAGGGATTGAGGTGGGTTATCAAAGAGGTTGAGCATTGGATGAATGGGTTGGAAGATACGTATTGATGAACTGCCCAGGTGTAAAAATCTGGGCTGAAGTTTCCTTTGTTTTTGTGTTCGTTTTTCTGCTGCATTTTGCCTATGGGTCAACAAATCCCAGTGATGGTAAGTGTTATCCTAGCAATTTAGTTCATCTATCAATTTCAATGGTTTTCTTAAAGTTGATAGAGGATGTGCAAAATACTTCTAAACAATTTTTCTTGTGGATAGCTTACTAGGGGATAAGTTGCAGCTCTGTGTTATTGTTTTTGCATTCAGGTTGCTTAAAGGATTAAGTTATATTTGTTGTTAGGTGACTAATTGGTGCTTTAGACTTCTAGAGTATACTTAATGTGTACTCAAGTGATGCATCCCTGACTTGTTGTTGTTTTACTTATGGTTAATTTGTAACACAATTCCTTATTTGGATTTATTTAATTGATGGCTTAGATTGGTCTGTGTTGTTTAGTTAATCTGATTGATTAGCTTTGTAGTTTTCGAATCTTTTTGATACACACATAACATATTAGCTTCATGATGTCTACTTAGATCAAATAGGAGCTTTAGAATTGGACTGTTTTACCTCTCTTACCCATGTCAATATTCATTGTGAATTATGACGAGTTTCACTGGCTGATTAATTTGTGTCTGTAGGACATTTGATGAGTCATGTGTAGTAAGCTTGTTGAATTTTGATGCTTGTAGTTCTCTTACCCGATTATGGAAGACGGATCGATTATTCTAACTGGATTTACTTAGTATTTTTATAGTTTTTGCTTTTTCCTTCTATCTTCAGGGTTAGGATGAAGTTAGCCTGCAACATCTTATATTAATTTACTTGGTAGGCCATAGTTGTAGCCTTGTAGGTGTTGGATCTGTTTTATAATAGTGTCATTGCTGGACAATTGGACATTGTTCATTGTTCTCTTTTTTCCTTGGAGCCTAGAGGAATTACATGTCGTCATTTGATGCATCTCTTGGTGCATTTAGTGACGGAATCTTAGTGCTTGTCATTTTCTTTTCTTCATTTCTTTCTTGATTTGGTTGTGTAAGTCAAGCAGGGACCTTATTTGAAATTAACTTTGTGGAAAGAGTGTACTTACAAAAAGTTATAATTCGTATGTTTTCTTTTTCCCCGATAAACAGCTGATAAAATTATACTTCGTATTTATTCTCAACTACAAGAAAGAGCCCAGAATCACTTCCATGCCCATTTCCTGCCAACAAAATATCACTGTGAGGTGTGCTGTTGTTGAAGTAAGTGAGATGATGGGTTAAGGTGAGTGACTGAGTTTGACTAGAGACTACATGATGGAGTTTGAGTGCAACAAAGGGAGCCACACATCATACAGGCTATAAGCCTATGATTATATGATGTAATCATACAAGAATGATAATCACTTTGTCCCCTTTCTAAAGTATTTCATTCTTTTAATTTCTATTATCTCTAGAACAAGATAGAGTATTTCATTCTTTTAATTTTTATTATTTATGTGTAAAGGCTCTATGAGAAGTTGCCACTCCTGGTGAAGGGTTATGTTAGAATTAGGAACCAATGGCCTAATGTTTAATGATTTGTGATGCTATATTAGCATACTAAAACCATTAGGAGTGAAATTGATAACTAGTACTCCGTCTGAACTCAAACTCCATTACTTTATTATTGCAATATCTAAGGGGTGTGTGGAGTTTAAGGAACTCCCCTGATGAGGAGAGATAGAAAGAAATAAAATGAGGGACCCATGTGACAGGAACGAGATAGTGAGAAATCATATGCAAATAAAGAAAAGTTGCATCAATATGATGCTTCCATAAAAAACAGTGTTGCAATGGAATGAGTATTTGCGACATAGAGGTATGGCTCAAATTAATAAGGAGAACTTTGAGAGTTTAATAAACTAACTAAAGGGGCAATATGGGTAGTCTAGTATCATCAGGTTATTAGTCTTAGTTTTAGTGTAAATAGAGAGGGATGGGAAAGGAAAAGGTAGGCAGATTTTGGGAGTGAATCCTTCACTATTTGAAGAGTTGTGAGCTAAATACTCTGTGGAGCTTGATAGGCTAAATCTATCGATTGTGTAAATTGTTGTTCTGTTAATTAAAGCCTCAATCTTTCTTCTCTATTTTACTGTTCTATTGCATTTCTCTATTTTTGTCCGTGCTTGGTTTGAATCTATTACAGTGAGGTAGAGAGAGATAATGAGGATATGGAAAGGTCCATGTGATGGAAAGAGAGAATGATAGAAATCTTTATCATTTAATCATTAACTATGTATGCATAGATTTTTCCTATGAAGTGATGAAAAAAGGTTGGAAGGAGAGTGTTGAGCTGAGCACATTCGATAGCTAATCATTTTGATTGGGTTTCAGACAACTCAGCAGTCAGCAGGGCTGTGACCTGTTCTTTTATTGATGTATATATGTTTCAGCCCTTTCAGGAGTGGATGGACGATGAAGGGATGAGGTTTTATGTTCTTTTAGTCCCTGTGAATTTATGTGTTTCATCTGATCTTGCTTTCAGGGTGGAAAGATTCGTGATGTGCTTTTTGAAATTCTTGAGAATGAAGACGATGTTGTTATAAAGCATGGTGCACAATCTAGAGAGAGTCGACGTGCAGCTAAACAAGGAATGCACACATCAAGGTTTTGCTTGCATCCTGCCGGCGATACTCCATTCGCTTGTCGTCTCTTTGATGCCATTGTAAGCCTGTGCATTCCAGTTATAATCAGTGACCATATTGAATTGCCTTTTGAAGATGTCATAGACTACAAGAAAATCGCAATATTTGTAGATACCAACTCATCAGTGAAGCATGGCTTTCTAGTTAAATTACTCCAGACTGTTACCGAACCTAAAATTTTGGAATACCAGTATGAGATGAAGAAGGTATTTAACAGATGCCCAGCCAGCCTGAACAGGACAGAGGCACAGCAGCGCAGCAGAACAGAAACAGCAGCACAGCAAACAGCAGAGCAGTAGGTCAGCCTGAACACACAACAACACATCAGCCAGCAGAGCACCACCAGCACAAGACAGCCTGAACAGAAGCAAAACCAATCACCCAGCCAACTTGAACAGAGCAGAAACACAGCCACAGAAGCAGAACAGCCACAACCATCAGAGTAGAAACACAGCCACAGCCATCAGAGCAGAAACACAGCCACAACCATCAGAGTAGAAACACAGAGATAAGTCTGGATTATTTAATGAAATGCAAGAAAGGTACTCAGAGATAAGTCTGGATTATTTAATTTTTTTTTTGGACGAAAATTGTAATATTACAGCCTTTTTTAATGAAAATATGTAACTTATATGTTTTTAATCACGTTTAGATTCTAACTCGTCCGATTTTTACAAAAAATAGTGTTTTTCATGTGTAAACAACGTTTTAATCAAAACTCACTACCTTTGGTAATAAGCACCACCCTCTCGTGGCCAAATTCAGCCTCTAAATCGGGCAGTTTTTTTTTTTATTTTGGAAAAATTCATGGCAATAATCCGACCTTTAGCCCATTCTTTTTTAATAATCCGACCTTTGGGGGTCTTTAATTTTTATTGGTCCCATTTGACTAGAAACCGGTTGAAGAGGTAAATTTTTTTTTTGGTTTAATTTACACGTGTCACAATTTGATTTGTCCAAAATTAAAAAAAAAAAAAAACCATCACCTTTGCCACCACCTTCCCCACCACCCCTGCCACCATTCCCTCTCCTCCTCCCGTTCACGCAGCTCCACCCTTCCTGGCGAACCCGGCCTAGCTAGACCCACCCCTGCCAGAAAAACCCCACCTAGTCACCACTCTTGGTCGACGAACCCCACCCAACCCTTCCCCTGCCCGCAAAACCCTTAGCAACCTCCACCTTCACGAACATCATATTCCACCCCTTCCCGACCACCGCAGCCCCGAAACCACCCCTTACCAAGTTTTCCGGCCCCCATAAACCCTATTCCCCCACTTAACACCACCAAATGGGCTGCTGTGGGGCAGTGAGGGAGATGCGGGGGCGGGGGTGGTTCGGTTTGCTGGTGATGGTAGGGCAAGAGCAGGGGAGAGGAAAGGGGAGGAAGGAGAGGGAAGGGGAGGTAGGCCGGCGGCTGCCGGCGCGTCTGCTGGAGCAGGTACCGGCGGCAGGGGGCTGGCCTTGGCTGGTGGCTGACTGTTTTTTTTTTTTCTGTTTTTTTGTTTTTTTTTTTTTTGTTTGTTTTTTTTTATTTTTTTTAAATTTTTTTTGACCAATCACAGGCCGCCACATGTCATGTAACCTGTTATAGACCCCCAAAGGTCGGATTATTAAATAATAATCATAAGGTCGGATTATTAAAAAAGAATGGGCTAAAGGTCGGATTATTGCCATGAATTTTTCCTTTTATTTTTAACGAAGGTTTAATGTTTAAAATAAATTTCCAGATTTTTATAAAGCTCTAAACTTGCTGTAATTTTATGAATAAGTATGTATTATAATGTTTTTATGTAGGAAATTTTAAGAATAATATATAAGCTTTTAATTCTAGCAAAAAGGAAGAATTTAAAGTGTTGTTTAATTGAATTTTGAAGGTTTGATTGAGTTTTTATGAAACTAATTGAATTCTAATTATATATTTCAAGTTTAGATTGTTGAATTCATACATTCTACTATTAAATTAAATTTTCAGATTTTTAATCTTGGTTTTAAAGGTTTTAAATCATGGTTTTATGATGGATTTTTAGGTTTTTAACATACTAACCTACTATATAATGATTATTTCAAGTAGAGATGTTTATGAGGTTGTTTTATAATCTTAAACTAAATTTTCAGATTATAATCCTTACTTTAAAGTTGCTGGAATTTTATGTTATAAGCTATATTTTCATGATTTTAACCTATAAACTTATAGTTGAACTATTAAATTATTAACTTTGACTATTGTTAGTAATTTAAAAGCATTATTTCAATGGTTTAAGGGGTTTTACAGTAAGTTAGTATTACTGTAAATTATATTGCTTGGGTATTGATTGAATTATTATTGTTTGGTATAGGAGAGGACTTTGTAGAAGACGATTTTTAGTTCCTAAAGTGAGCAACCAACTCGTTTACTCAAGGTACGTACAAGGATACGAAAACCTTGACTCTAGAAGCATGTTTAAGGACTTGGAAGACTTAGAATCATGTTAGGAAACTTGTTGTAATACTCCGTGTTTTTATGTATTTTATAAATTATTTAATTAATTATAAAATATATTTTTAAAGTACTCAAGTATTTTAATTAAATATTTAAATGGCTAAAGTATTTAAATTATTGAGTTTTATAAAAGTATAATTTATTTTGGGCTAAACGTTTATTAATCGTTTGGGCTCATTTAAATAATAGTATTAAACAATTCTTACATACTCCTAGTGGACCTAGCCATTTTATTTAAGTAAGCCCAATTCTTTTATTTGAACCCTTGTAGGTCAAATATTTCATGACTAAAGTCCATTTATTTATTAAGCCCAAATATAATCCCTACTCTTTACTCTATAAATATTCCTCTAAACCCCAAAAATTTCCCACACAAGAGATCAAAAATCAGATTTTGGGGGTAAGTAACTTTTCTTTTTACCTTATTTTTCCTTTTCTTTTCTTTCTTTTTCCTTTTCCTTATCCTTTTTTTTTTTTTTTTTTGAAAGAGTATAAATTTCAGATTTTGTATGGTTTTAAATTATGATTTTATAAAGTATTAAAAGTTAGGGTTTTAATTATTAAAGTATTGATTTTTAGGGTTCTAACTTACAATTGATTTAGGGGTTTTATATACCTATTGATTGTAAATAATAATAAAGCTTAAAGACTACATTTTTATGGAGTATTAATGAGTTTTTAATAAATTAATATTGCTGGAATTTTATTTTAAGCACTACTTTTGTGTTTTAATAAAAAGGGGTTGATTACCCATAAGTAGGGGAGGTTTTAATTGGTTCTAATATAATTTTCAGATTTATTTGAGGGATTTAAATCTTAAAAAGTGTGCTGAAATTTTATATAAACACCATGAATGAGGTTTTATTTTGTGGTTTTAATTACCCACTTAAAGAAAGAGTTTTAAAGGTTTTAAGCCAAAATTTCAGCTTATTAGAGAAGGTTTAAAGTGTTAAAGTTGCTGGAAATTTGTGTAATCAAGGAAGTAATTGAGTTTATGTATTTGGTATTATAGGAGACTTTAAGTTGAGTAATTTCTAGCAATTGTGGCTAGTTGGAAAGATGATTTGAAGTATGTTCGCGTACTTGGTAATGCTTAAGTGTATAGAAGCATGCTAGGCTTTGTTAAATTAATTCCAAGTAATATCATGATAGGTATTGGATGGAATTTGTTGATTGGATTGATATTGGAGAATGATTTGTGATGAATGAATTATTTATGGTGAATTGGTGATTGGAATTAATTATATTGACATGTTGATTATGAACCATACTTTTATTATTGGCATGTTAGAGAGCATGCTTGATTAAACTAGATGTTTAACTTGGTTTGGAATATGAAAAATGAATTTTATTATGGTTCATATAATTTTTATTGATGCTATAAACATGATAAAGGAGCTATTTAAGTGTCTTAGTACACATGGATAAATTATATTGCGGTGCCTATGTGTACTTAAGGTGTTTCTAACACTGAGGGATAGGATTTGAGGTGCCTTATGCACTTAAGGTGTTTATACACCGAGGTAGTTAAAAGATTCAATAATAAATGTTGTTTGTCACTAATAAATTAAGAATTGAATTGGAAACTTGAATGGTTTGAATGATCGATGTATGATTGGTTGTATTGTTTTGCATTTGAGTCATCACCAAGTTAAAACTGGTAAATCACGTAAAGTGCAAGAAGGATGAGCAATAAAACTCTGGATTTGTGCACATCTAGAGTAATGACAAACAGGGGTTGGGGTTCACGGGATATTAGCCGTGTACTTTTCAGAGGCCGTCTGATCTACGAGTCTCTTGTTTTCAAATACTTTTAAAATTATAATGAGTTAGATGAGATCTCATATTAGCTATGGCCACGGAGTCGCGCCCGTCTGCCATTGGATGTTTATTAATGTCTTCTGAAAGGAGGCATAGGGTTTTCTTTTATTAATGTTCCGAAATGGGGCATAGGGGGACAACCCGGTCAATTGCTTAATCCGATCAAATTAATGAAATGATCAATGCTATTTAGTGAAAACTTAGTAATGATCGACAATTGAGTCATGTGTTCAAGTCAATGATTATATTGTGTGTGTATAGAATGCTTGTTAGTATCATGCTAAGGTTCTTTACTATATTTCGTAGCTTATATGTACTCAGTGTTGCTGATTGCGTGCTTTTGTGTGTTTTCTCTTGGTCATGGCCTTCGCCCTTCAATGACCCTGTAATGATCCAATTCTTACACTTGTAATATTGGAGAGCAGACTAATCACAGGTTTTTGCATAAACTGAACTTGAATCAGGGTGATGGGATTTGAGTGGAGCGTTGGTTAATCACTTAGCTTATTTCATTTCATAAATTGATGTTATTTTGACTCTAACTCTACTCGCTTCCTATTTTACTGGGTTTTGAATAAGGGCCGTTATGGTTCCAACTTGTAAGTCTAAATTTGGTTTTGATTATTAGTTTTGAAACTTACATTTTCTTTTAAAACTAAATTAGTTTTCCGTTGCTGATATTTGAAACTAGCCTTTACGTTTGAACACGTGGCGGTAGCACGCCAGTAATTCTCTCACAGGTTATTAAAAGTATTTACAGGTTACTACAGGTTAGTACAGGTTTTAAAGAGAGAATAATTGGGGTGTTACACTTGTGGATTGGTAGGAATTGTATGGTAGTAAGTTTGATTGGTGAATAATGTGATGATTGGTTTTGTTTCATGTATGAGAATTGCGTATTAATTTATCTTGTAAGTATTATTTATGCATTAACTTGCAAGATGAGCTTAGAGGCAAAGGTACGTGAATATGGGGAATGAATTATTTTATTACTCGTTCATGATTATTAAAGTGGAACAAGTAAGGGAGAATTAAAGTCTTATAAGACGAGGTTGAGGATTAAGGTGCCTTATGCACTTAAGGTGTTTATACACCGAGGTAGTTAAAGGATTCAATACTAAATATTGTTTGTCACTAATAAATCAAGAATTGAATTGGAAATTTGAATTGTTTGAATGATTGATGTATGAATGGTTGTATTGTTTTGCATTGAGTCATCACCAAGTTTAAACTGGTAAATCACGTAAAGTGCAAGAAGGATGAGTAATAAAACTCTGGATTTGTGCACATCTGGAGATTGACAATCAGGGGTTGGGGTTCATGGGGTATTAGTCGTGTACTTTCTAGAGGCCGTCTGATCTACGAGTCTCTTGTTTACAAATGCTTTTTAAAACTATAAGGAGTTAGATGAGATCTCATACTAGCTATGGCCACGGAGTCGCGCCCGTCTGCCATTGGATGTTTATTAATGTTTCCGAAAGGAGGCATAGGATTTTTCTTTTATTGATGTTCCGAATTGGAGCATGGGGAGACAAGCTGGTCTACTGCTTAATCCAACCAATGAATGAAATGAATTATTGTTAGTAATTAGTGAGGTCTTAGTAATGTTAACGGCTGAGGCGTGTGTGTTTGAGTCAATAATTAGATTGTGTGTGCTGATTGATTTTAGTAACATGTTAAGGATTCTTTATTATATTTCGTAGCTTGTATGTACTCAGCCTTGCTGACTACATGCTTTCGTGTGTCTTTTCTTGGTCATGGCCTTCGCCTTTCAATGACCCTATAATGATCCAATTTTTACACTTATAATATTGGAGAGCAGATTAATCACAGGTTTATACATAATCAGAACTTGCATCAAGGTGGTGGGATTTTGAGTGGAGTGTTAGATGTTTCCACAGTATATTTCATTTCATAAGTTTGGATTTATTTTAACTCTGGTTTGATTTATTTACTACTTTTATTGGGTTTTGAATAAGGGCCTTAATGGTTCCAACTTGTAAGACTAAATTTGGTTTTGATTTCTGGTTTTGAAACTTATTGATAACCGAGTTAGTTTTTCCGCTGCTAAATTCTGAACTAGCCTTAACGTTTGAACACGTGGCGGTAGCACGTCAGTAATTCTCTTGCAAATTGATAAAGGTATTTACAGGTTTTTAAGAGAGAATTATTGGAGTGTTACACTTATATAAGGGGGCGTGATAAATTAGAGTATAAAAACCAATCCTTAGTTTCGATCATTAGCCTAATATTCTAGTTGAGTTGGCCTTCTTACACCATAATTGATTTATATTCTATCACTTTGAAATGGTTGTTGTTTTACATTTTTTTTTTCTTTTTTTGAATAATTAGTACATATTGCATGGCATATATATTGTTGAGAAATAGGTGTTGTATTTGATTATTCTGGAGCAATAGTCAACAAAATAATAAAAGCAAGAAAATAATAATGAAGATAATCAAACAACACAAGGGTTTACGTGGTTTGATCAATTAGGTGGAGCATTTAAGAGAGTCTATTTCCTACAATGGGGGAAAGAGGAATAGAATCATGATGGCTTAAAGGCTTAATCCAAACGATCACCCAATGGTTTTTTTTGATTTTTTGTTTGTTTTTTTTTTAATTTTTTTTTTAAAAAATATAAATTAATCATAAATTAACTATAAATTATTCCTAAAGTAAATTCTTAGTAGCCGTCATGTGGAGAAATATAAACTTAGCAAATATTCCATAAACCATGCCGCAAAGATGTGAAATCGAAAATCGGGGCACGTGAAAAATAGTATTTTGTGCATCAGTCAAGGTCAATTGTACGAGCAAGATGGTCTCCTCGAACGAATGCCTCTTTTTTTGCGTTAACTTTTTGTGTTCGCGAAGTTACTTGATTACGAGTCACACTAACACTTATATATAAGTATAGTATATACAAAAAAATTATTTCAAGAATTAAATATGTTGCTTCTTTGTGCGTTGTTTTTTTCCATCAAACCTTATTCAATATTATCTAGTTTTATATTTATATTCCTTCTCATTGCTCCTATATTACACCCTACTCTCTCTCTTACTGATTAATTGCAACACTTTCTTTTTCATTTTTTTTTATTAATTGTAATACTTCTTTATTTGATACTCCATAAAAAACTCACTATTATTTTTTATACTATGGAGTATATACCATCAACTATAATTTATATTATAAATTCCTCATTTTAGTCCCTCACTCTATATATCCCAATTTCAGTGTACTTAGCTAGTTCAAGACTATACAAAGACTATCACAAAATGATGTAACTTGGTGGGCTAGTTGTATAATTTTATGTTTACCTCTTCGTCCATCCAAATGTGGGCTAATGAAGTCTTGAGGTAATTCCATCTAGATTGTCTCTTAAAAAGGTTGTAAATTTCAGCGATGTAAGTGGGAGATATTTTATAGTGCAAGATCTACTCGACGATTGTAATTTATATGACGAAATTCTTTATTTAATTCAATATGTTATGTACTTATTAAATATTTTTTGTAAAAGTCGTAGGACTATTTATTAATAAATTGATTTTACTATTAAAAATAAAGGAAAAATAGTGAATATCAGTTACTCCGTAGTACAAAGTACTCTGTAAGTCCATAATCCATATAGCATCTAAATACAATCATACTTATCATTCTTGTATTGTTTTACTAGAAAACATTCGTCACCATCATCATTATCCTAATTACTTTTCAACTTTGACGTTTTCCTTGCATAGACTTTTATTAATAAATTTCATAGTTTGAAGATATAAGAAGGTCATGTTACTAAAAAAAAAATTGTATGTCTTGCGCTTCTTAGGTTGAAGCGTTGAATACAAGTAGATTTTTAAAATAGAGAAAAAAAATCCGTAAATCACATAGGATTCAAACTAATTTTAATTCATTTGATGTATAAAAAAATTATTGCATGCACTCGGGTGTATCTAGAGTTTAATGTAATTTTTATTTTATTTTTCTTTTTTTCTTTTAGCTCCATTAGTATATGTCTATACTAAAAAATCATAACATGAGCAAAAATCTTAAAAAAAAAAAAAAAAAAAAAAAAAAAAAAAAGCTCAAATTTTGTTAATGTGCACTTGCCTTTTTACCAGCATGGTTTGTGAGGGCGACATTCGAATGGAATATTAGTAAAAATAACGGAAGGACAGCAACAGCTAATAAATTAAGCTGTCATTGCGCCAATTTCTCAAAATCAGGATATTTGGTTTGCTAAAAAGCAGGGGAATTAAAAGTACCATTTTTTACATTTTAAATTATCAGCTTAATTATGCTTTTTGGTCTCACAGCCACCTTTTTTCTTTTGATTTATTGGGATTTAGATCTGTAATTTTGCGCATTTTTCCACCTTCAAACTAGTCAGTCAAGTTCCCACTTTCTTCCTACTTCCTCTTTTATCTTCTTGTTTACTATCAACATTTCTTTAAGTTGTTTGATCATCATCTTCTACCTATTCAACTACATGTAAGTAAACCCACCTATTTTTTAATTATTTGTGCCAATTTTTTTTGGTGAATTTTGGACCTTTTTTGAGTTCTGAGTACTGGGAATTGATTGAATTGCTGTAAATCGAAATGGGTTTTGTTTAAATTTTTCTGGGTTTGTAGTTTTATACAGATTTGAGCTTGATTTGTTTGAACATTTGTTGAGATGGGTAATGATGGGTTAAAAGTTGGTATTCAAATCAGGAAATTTGTGATCATAACAATAAAATTGTGTTATAGATCAGTTTGTAATCATCCATTTGTTGTGGGTTTATTGTTGTTCTTGTTATATTTGCATAGGTCATACCCATTTTTGTTTTCTATATTGGTGTCTACTTCTCCTGTACTTGTTGGTACTGCTGTTTTACTTGGAACCCTTTTGAGTTTTGGTGAACAAAATGTTGTCCCTGAGTGTGAGGAAGAAGAGAAACCGGCTCACGAAGTTGTGCAGTCGAAAACGGGTGGGTTTGAGAGCACCACAGTTGTTGAGGAAGATGAGTGTTTTGGTAAAGATAGTAGGTACACTGAATTGAGCAGAGAGTTTGTAAAGACAACTGATGAAGAACCTTTGCTAGATAATACTGATAGATTAGATAAATTGGAAATAGATCGTGATGATGATGATGTTGCTTATAGTACAATATCTACTGATCATAATTCGACGGAGGTCATCTTTGAGAAAGGATGGATTGATGAACCAAAGAGTGAGCAAGGAAATGCTGAGATTGAGCAGGCTGTGGACTTGGGTGATCAAATGTTCAAGATGGGAATCATAGTCGGTTTTAGTGATGGCGAAATTCTGGAAACCAGGTTTTCTTCAGTTGAGAAGGTACAGGGTGAGCATTTTGAGGATTATATTTCAGCAGAAGGATCAATTGATGCTCAGATGGGGGAATATTTAGTGTCTTCCTTGGAATCGCAGAAACAATTGAATGAAGTTCTAGCTGATAGTATATTATCAGCTAAGGAAGTTCAACATGAGAATTTTGAGGATTATAAGTCTGCAGAAGGATCAGTTGATGTTCAGTTAGGGGATCAATTAGAACCTTCACTGGCATCATGGAAACAGTTTGATTCTCTTGATGATCGGTTATCCACTGCTCTAGAAGTTCAAGAGAAGAGATTTGAGGGTTATAATATAGCAGAAGGATCATCAGAGGCTCAATTGAGAGATTATTTAGAATCATCTATGAGATCATGGAGACAAATGGGTTCTGATCATGATGAACATGGTGAGTCTGATTCTGGGTCTGATGGAGCAGAGAGTTCCTCTCCAGATGCTTCAATGGCGGACATTATCCCTATGCTTGATGAACTTGATCCACTTCTAGACGATGAAATTTTACAGGCTAGTAACCTATCCCATCAAAGCTCTGCTGCAACGATGGATGAGTCTGTGGTTTCGCCAGATAGCAGCATTCATTCTGATGATGAAAGTGATCATAAGGATCACAAAGCTGATGAAGGTAAAAGTGATAATGATGATGACAACGAAGAGGAAACTCAAGTTGGTAAAGAAGATTCTGCAAAGTCTGCGATCACGTGGACAGAAGATGACCAGAAGAATCTTATGGATCTAGGGACATCTGAATTAGAAAGGAACCAGCGCCTGGAGAGCCTTATTGCTAGGAGAAGAGCAAGAAAGATAACAGGAGATAGGAATTTGATTGACTTGGATGGGATGGATCTACCTTTTCCAGTTGCACCTATTTCAACGAGAAGAAACAATCCTTTTGATCTACCTCAGGACAACTCTTATGCTGACTTGGGGCTACCACCAATTCCTGGCTCTGCACCATCTATTATGCTGTCTAGGCGAAATCCTTTTGATCTTCCTTATGACTCTAGTGAAGAAAAGCCTGATCTATCAAAAGATACTTTCCAGCAGGAATTTACTGAAGTTACTCAGAGGGAGGCATTATTTCGAAGAAACGAGACATTCAATATGGGATCTACTGGTTTTGATTTAGGAAGACCTAGTAGATTTAGACCTTATTTTGTGCCAGAAAGGACAGATTCTGATATGATGAGCTATTCTTCTCTTTCAAGACAGGTAAGTGAGCTTAGCGAGTCCAAGGCAAGTTCTGTTTCTGAAACGGAGTCAACTTCTGCAGGAGCAGACCAGGAAGAAAAGAAGCTAATAGAACACGACTCTGCTCAAGAAGTTGAACCCAGCTCTGAGGTTGATTATGCTTCGGTCCTTGTTGAACATGGAAGTCAGTCTTCTGCAGATTTGGATTCATTGTTAGGTGAAGAACAGGAGAAGAAAGATTTTGTTCCCCGTGAGCTTGAAGTTGAGCTAGGTAGGGAAAGGTCTTCTCCTACTGTTGATTCTGATGTGATGGGATATCCTTCTCTTCAAAGACAACTAAGTGAATATAGTGAGTCCAAAGAAAGTACTGCTGCTGAAAAAGAATCAACTTCTGCAGGAGCAGACCTTGAAGAAAAGATAATGGAATACAACTCTGCTCAAGAAGTTGAAGCCCGTTTTGAGATTGATCATGCTTCTGCCCTTTTGGAGCATGGAAGCCAATCTTCTGAAGATTTGGATTCATTGTCAGATGATGAAATAGATCGGAAAGATTTTGTTCTCAGTGTGCTTGAAGTTGAGTTGGGTAGGGCAAAGTCTTCTTCTGCTGCAGCTTCCTACACATCTGAAACTATCGAATCAGCTGATAATAGAATTGATTACAGGGAAATTAGTCCTGCAGTAGATCCGTTGCTATCTCATAGCAAAGTTAGCCATAGTGACATCCAACCAGTGACAGAATTAATCGAAGTGAATCACAATATTACCTCTCGCCCATTATCTGTATCAAAAGTTTTTAATGACGGGACGATGGAAGATGTTGACAGAGGTTTGGCAAACAAGGAGAAACGCCAACTCAACAATCTTTTTAATGTTCACATTTCAGAGAAGTGTTCACTAGAGCCCTCATCGTCAGGTGTAACATCTGGGTTGTCACTAGAGACATCAGAATACAGTCATGCAGCTGAGGTGGATGATAATCATCCAAGGGAACCCATTTATGACTTCAGCCCACTCAAGAAGAACCATTCCTTGTCCTCCTCTTCTTCGGATATGCAGAGAGAGACATCAGGGATTGATTTATACCATTTATCAAGTGATTTATTTGTGGTTGATGAAACAAACGTTCACAATCAAGATGTAGAGTTCATTTCCCAGCAAACTAAAAAAGATGCAGATGGAGATGACTTGACAATGAACGATATTGGTGAACAAAGTGGAGTTTACGGCACTGACTTCTCAGAGTTTAATCAACTCCCCAGTAATTCACTAACATCTGTAGTGGCAGAAGGTGAGGTTCATTTGGCGAAGGACAAAATATCAGGTGATGAAGTTGCTCCTCATGAAGTAGAGAATTTTTTTGCACAGAAAGATGGTTCTGAAATACATATTGAAAACAAGCTAGATGATATGCCTTCTGCTGATAGACACAAGTTTGCAGAAGATTCTATCTTAGCTCAAGAGAAAAAAGAAGTTACTACATTGGCAGACAATTATTCGCCTGTCCACTCCACATTGTCTTCTTCACAGGTCGAGTCAAAGGATGAAAATCAGGAGGAAGTGAATATAAGCCAGCAGTTTCAGGTGTCCTATTCCAGTTTGAAAAGTCGTGAAAACGATGGGAATGAAACGCTGGAATTTTCACTGGATGAAAATCATTTCTTTCCACATAATTCTGACATCAGCGACCCCTGGGCTGATTCCGCTGATCAGGTAAATCATGTTGCTTATTCATATGCCTTCGAATTTCTAATGACATTATCTTTGTATGTCAAGGTCTTTGGCCATACTAATAGATTTAGAAGTATAAACAAGTACCTTGAGTTAATTTGCTGGTTATAATCATGACCAATAGGATAAGTGAAATTCTAGTGACGTTATACCGAGAATTTTGTGATCTTATTGGCTGAATTATTAATAATTTTATTTGAGCTTATAGTTCTAGTATGCTCATGCACATAACTAAGAGCAATTTAATTTAACCAACTAAGCACAAGTTGATATATAAAATGATTCTACTTCCTTATTTCTATCTATGTGGGACAAAAGTTCCCACAAGAACTTCACCATCGAAGGCTATGAAATGAGATATGTGTATATTTTGAATAGAGTCAAACATCTTCAATTTTAAGCAACTTCAAATATGCATGTGAAAACAATTAGTGGGACTTTCATTAAGCATTATTTTTTCCTGTTTCTATGGCCTGATTGCTTCAAATTCCCCATGACAATATCATTTCTGTGGAAATATTCACATCTTATGCTGTGTATAAGTTGAACTTATTTTTTTGGCTGTCACTGACATATGATTGTCTAATTGAATGAGGTGAACACAAAATGGTCTGGAGCCCTGGACTGCAAATTATATAATACTGATACTACTAAATATGTACACAGGAACGATCCGTCATTCTAAGAAAGCTTGAGGTTGATCAGGCAAACAAAATTGATGACCCTGCTAATGTTCTCTTGGTTAAAGAGCCTCAACACGAGATATCTTCTGATCCAAGTCAAAGCAATGTATCTTCTTCCCAGCCTGAGGATTCTGAAACAACAGTTGCAGAATTATCATTTAAGAAGCATGTTCAAGATTTACCTGGCACTGGACTTACATATACGGTAGAGGAAAACCATGAGGTCTTTGAAGGATATGAAGAACCAATAGCTGATGAGCATATCACATATGCAAAGAAAAACGATGTCAATGAGATGGATGATGAGTTGCTTTCTGAGCTGGATGCAGTTGGTGACTTCGGAGTGTCAAACACTGTATCAATCTTGGAGAATAGTATGATAGATCTCAATGCAGCAATTGACTCTAATTTACCTGTAGAAGCTTTTGATGAAGTATATACAAGTACTGAAATGCCAATTGGCCATGAAACATTGCTTGGAGATAGCACTCATGTAGAAATCAATCCTTCCAGGATTAAGGAATCAAACTTAGATTCACAGACAGTTAATTTAAATACTGATTTGCTAAACCTGGAAGCTCACTCTGTTGAGGATACCGATGCTGTATTTGCGAAAGCGAGTGACGAAGTTCACAAGTCTGTGGTTGCTGAGTCTGTCCAGGCTGAATTCATGGGAGAGGTGGATGGTCTTTTTCCAGAAACTGATCTATTGTTAGGAGATACAGAACCACGGGGAAGTACTTCTGAAGTAGTAACAAACACTGCTGATAATGCCTTTAATAGCAGGGAATCAGTTTCAGAAAGAATTGAATCTGACCTTGCTTTTCTGGAGGGCCATGATCTGGATCCTCACTGGAATGAAACTATTTCAGGACTGCCAATCGTGGATGCTAAGATTATCAAACAATCTGCTGCAGATGTTGAGAAAGTTGAAGAAGAAATCATTGATAAATCTGATTATGTTGAAGCTTTACCAAAAGTAAGTGAAACAGGAGTTGATTCTCTGGAATCCATGCCATTGCAAATACATAGAGACATTAAAGAGATAGATGACTCATCTGTTATTGAGGCAAGTACTGCACCAGATCTTGAGCCTATAGATCAAACAGAAAGTATTGGTTCTATGGAATCTGAGTCATCATTAATAGATAGAGACATCAAAGAGATACAAGAACCATTAGTACTTGATGAAAGTGATTCACTTGTTCATGAGTTTGAGGATAAGGCACCAGAGATGCATGTTCTTGGAGCTAGTATTGCACCTGCAGTTAAATCTGAAATTCAAACTGACAGAAAAACACATGAGCCATTGCTACTGGGGAAAGAAGATAAAGAGTTAAAAGAATCACTTCTTGTTGGAGTTAGTGTCGGATCTGCTCTTGACACTGAAGATCAAATGGAAAAGTTTAATTCCACAAGATCTGAGTCATTGCATATAGATGAAGAGGTAGAAGAGACAGAGGAATTGCTGGCTCATGAAGGAAGTATCGCTCCTGCTTCTGAGTCTGACGATCAGAGAGATAAAATTAGTTCATCTGAGCCATTGCAGTTGGATAGGGATATTGTACAAGAATCTCCTGCTGTTGAAGCAAATATTCCATCTGGTCTTCAGCCTGAAGAGAGGGAAGTGGTTGGTTATAAGGAATCTGAGCCATTGCAGTTGCATAGAGATATTCATGAGGTACAAGAATCTCCTGCTGTTGAAGAAAGTATTCCATCTGCTCTTCAACCTGAAGAGACGGAAGTGGTTGAGGAGTCCGAGCCATTGCAGTTGGATAGAGACATTCATGAGGTACAAGAATTTCCTGCTGTTGAAGAAAGAATTCCATCTGCTCTTCATCCTGAAGAAAGGGAAGTGGTTGGTTCCGAGGAATCTGAGCCATTGCACTTGGATAGAGACATTCAGGAGGTACAAGAATCTCCTGCTATTGAAGCAAGTATTCCATCTGCTCTCCAGCCTGAAGAAAGGGAAGTGGTTGGTTCCGACAATTCTGAGCCACTGCAAAGCGACAATATTGCGGAAGAATTACGCGATTGGCATGTTGTTGAAGGAATAGCTCCTATGGAATCCAAGCCAATTCAAACAGAAACAGATATTAAAGATGTGCCAGAGTCTCCTACTGCACAAGCCAGTTTTTTTGTTCCCGAGTCTTCTGATCAAATACTTACAGTTGATTCTGGGGAATCTAGACTGTTACTGATTAATAGAAATGTTGGGGAGTTGCAAGAATTACCTGCTGTTGAAGAAAAAATTGCACCTGAAAATGAGTCAGGTCAACTAGAAAAGGTCAGCTTTGTGGAATCTGAATCATTGCAAATGGATGGTGATTTTGAAGAGATTCAAGAGCCTCCTTTTCTACACAACAATTGTGCATCTGCTGTTCAGTTCAAAGATCAAATGGAAATCAATTCACCGATGGAAGTTGTTGAGGTTCAGGCTTTGCAGGATCATCACCCAGTTTCTCAGCAGGAACGTGAAGTTGATTTGTCAAATATGGATGATTCAAGAGGGCTCATTGTTGACTCATCAACCACTGACATTCAATCAATCAAAAATGAAGTCGGTGGTCAAGGACATGACAAGAATGCTGCTGAAAACTTTTCTTCGCAAGTTGAAGAGGAAAAATCCAGCTAGTCTCATAATTCAAGCTCCTCCAGCTTCTAGTTCAAGTGATTCTGTTGAAGATTAATATTGTACGAGGTGCGTTCGGTGAGTGTGGCTATAACCAACATTTTGCTTCCAAATATAATTTTGAATGCCTACAATTTTCTAAGAGCCTATTTGGCTGGTTATTAGTGTTTGTTTAAGTTAATTTGGGCGGCTTCGTTTTTGGTGAGTAGCAGGTTCATTGTTATCCCTGCTTTGTTGTAGCTGGGTTTTTTGTGATATTCTTTTCGTTTGTGGAAAGATTGAGGTTTTCTTTGATGCTTGTGACTCGTAGTTCCTTAACTGTGGGTGAGGCATCAAACATTGTGCTGTGTTTTAGATGTTGTAAATTATATACATATATGTCACTAGTCTGTGACCATTGCATTCTTCGGGATTTGAGAGGGGTATCTTCAGTATGGAGCTGAAAATTGTGCTTTGGCTTCGTGTATAGAGAGTTCCTGTTGAGACTTGCAAGGCTAAATTTGTAAGCCTTCTGTTTTGTAGTGTACTGTGTACATTGTTTTTTTTGGAATGAGTACTAGTTTTGATGTGTACCATGAAAATTACTACTGACATCTGATATCTGACATCTTTATCGTATTTTGATTGTTTACTAGACTACTGAAATATTGACATTTGTTCCTGTTTGTAGTTTTTGTACCAAAAACCCAAATGATCCTTTTTTCTCATACTTAGTATAATTTTCTTATTGAATAAGAAAGATTGGAGTTCACCAAATAGGTAATGAAACAAATTGCTCTTTAATATTCGCTGATTTCAAGATTGGTACTTAAATTATACGGGTGTAGCTGTTCAAAAAGGGATTGTAGAACGGAACTGTGAATTTGTATGCACTGGAGACCGGTCCAAACAAATTCCAATCCACATCGGACTGGGCTCTTTTTTGTGGTAATGTGCTAGTTTGGGTTTTATTCATTGTCAAGTCAAGTTAAACTGTTGTCAGTTAGTTTCTAGTCCGTTAAACAGATTTTTTTTTTTTTTTTTTTTCCCTGGTTAATTTCTAGTCCGTTGAGGTTCGAGTTTAGGTCTTTGAATAACAAATCTAACCAGTTCTCGATTAATTTCAGATTTGGTTTGGGTATGGGTTACTAGTAGTCTAGTACCACCAATTGTTTGGGTGCTATTCGCATTTGGGAAATTGCCGGTTTAGGTCAGTTTTGGGTCAGATCATTTTCTATAGCTCTGCTTGCAAATGATGTTATAGCAAATCAACACTGTTAAAGAAAGTGTAGATTGTATGGACTTGTGCATTTCATTAGAAACTGTAACATTTTCTGATATGCTATCAACTCTAAAAACTTGCTTGAATTATGATTTCAGGGAAGACTAATTAATGATATCCATAAATAAAAATGATCGAATGACAAGTTTACAATGAGTTGATTCAATAGATCTATCTCACAGGCTGTTGAATAGTTTAGTCATGGCTTCATTGAATGTGTCAAGCTTGACATCATTGTATTATTCAAGTTGCTAACAGCAATGAGAATTATATCAACTAGTTGGTTTCTTATTGTTTTTGGTGAAAACAATGGGTCCTTCGTCTGGACCTTTCTTGTGGGTTAAAAACTAGACTCGGCCCAAGTGATGAATGGGATGAGGGTATCCTGCACAACAAACACACGTTAACTGGCCTCGGGGGTTGTGCCGAGGAAGACCCCTTCGATGCCGAAGTCAGTACAGTGTTTCTAGAGAGAGAAAGCTATGCAAGAGAATTAATTGTTTGAGGCTTAATGTGAATCAATGTAGAGAAAGAGAAGTGAAAGCTTTTATACCTTGCTCAAATAGATTAAATGGGCCTTGAAGCCAAATGACTTGCCATGTTGACTGGGCCTTTGACTGACTTAGCATGCTTTAGGAGGGTTGAACCTTCTTTGGGATTTTATATGAGTTATTTGGTGACCGGCCCAATTGGAGCAAATGGACCCAAACAACTTGCCCTCCAGACCCGGTTAGGAAATTAGATGAATCGCGTTTTGACTTGCAAATTGGAGAGAAGCAAATGACTTAATTATCATTTGAATTTTTGGAGTTATTGAGGTAATAACGGCTGTTGAAGTTAATAGGGAATTTGGAGAGTTTACTGGGAGGTTAATGTGAGAAGCAAACAGAAAGGTAGAGCATTGAAGTGGAGTTAGTGGGGGCTTTAGTGGCGCGAATTCCCAGAATTCCTGAGTTGGCAGGTATATACACTACTCGTCCCACTCTCTCTCCTCATTTCAACTTTTGTTAATTTCCAATCGCTTTTCACTAATCACCACCCTTAAACTCTTTTCCTTTTTCGCTTGCATTCAGCAATCCGAAGCCGAGAATTGAAATTCGTTGCTCCGAACCTATAGATCGGCGAGTTCCGCATCTGGACAAGGTAATTTTCTTCGAAATCCCTTCGTTTTTCTTGTTTTTTCAAGTACCCCCCTTTTTCGTTCATTCACGCAACCACCTCCGATAATGGCCGACGACCGTGGAAAGAGAAAGGTTGAGGCCGAGCTGAGTGTAGAAGAGGAGGATGAGGTTTCGCAGTTGACTCTGCGATGGAACCATACTTTGGCGTTGATGCCACCTCTCAGCGACCAGAATCCTAGGGTTAGGACTGGTTCCGCCGTCGCTCCTAGCAGCTCTACCATTAATGTCGTCCCAATTAGCGGCCTGACACCCAGGGCCTCAGGTTTAGTTAGCACTTCTGGCCAAAGCGGAGCTTTATCATCTAGGCTGTTGGCTCCTGAGGAAAGGGAATAGCTGGATGAGGCTGCGAATGCGGGAATCATGAATTTCCCCCTGTATGATTGTTGGGTTGGGAATGACGCCGAGTACAATTTTGCCAGACAAATTGAGATTTGCTATGGAATTATGGAAGAAGATGGATATTGGTGCCGAATGCCCACTTTGGATGATCGGAATTCATCGCCCTCCACCAGTTTATATCGAAGTTTATGTCTGTCAGTTGCAGTACGGGCTTCGGTTCCCACTCCATTCCTTTATAACCCACGTTGACGACATCTCGTTGTGCCAGTTGACGCCGGTGAGCATCCGAAGGTTGATGAAATACCTTTGGGTGTGTCTGTTTTTCGGATTTACGCCCAATGTTTATTTCTTCCGTTGTATCCACAAACTGGTTCCTAATGTTCAAGTGAACAAGCATAATGGCCCCGGCTGGTGGCAAATTTAAGATGAGAAGGGCTACCTTACAGTCTGGTCAAATGATACCTCCGACAAGGACTAGAGGGGGAAATGGATCTAGGTAAGGGTGCCCCAGGATCCAGAACACTTAAACTACTTCGGAGCGCCAAGGTACCTGAGGCAGCCTGATGTTAACATGTCTAGCATCGGTCCTGATGAATTCACTCCCGTAGACCGAAAGCAAATGAGCCACTTCGGCTGGTCTAAGGTGGTTGGAGCCACGGGCCGAAACGCGACTGTTCCCACTACTTTGCTGCTTTGTTGCCACTACATCTTCAACAAGAAGATGCTTGTTGTCCTCGGCCTCAGCCGAAAGTACCAAGGCGGTAAAGAGATCGGCTAGGGCCGAGGACTTCATTTATTTTCTTCTTTTTTTTCACTGTCTTCTTTCTCTAGCGAGGATAATCGTCGTTTTTCCTTTTCAGTGTTGTTTAAAGAGAACTCGGGCATTAAGTACGAGGTGCTTGGGATCACTCAAGAGAGGGATCCAATCACTCAAGAGAGGGATCCAATCACTCAAGAGAGGGATCCAATCACCAATTCGAAGGATCGACCGATCTTTTAACACGCTAAAAGGTTTGAAATAGTCAGCGCTGCCAAGTACTAGCAGCTGAAACCTTGGTGGGAAAAGCGAGGCCCCGTTCTTCCTTTTGAACGCCGAAGAACAAGAAGCTGTTGATGTTGGTAAAATTTCTGACACTTAAGCGTTTATACTTAAGTTTTTTTTTCCATTATCAACCCTTGTAGGCTGTGCAGAATCATGCCTTGTCGTTGGGATGAATGATGAGCTTCGGTTCAAGTATGAGGATGCTGAGGCTCGGGCCAACCTTGTGGGACTCAAAGGCCAAAGCTGTCGAGGAAGAGGTTGCCGCATCCAAGGTGATTCAGAGACAGTCCTCAAGAATTTGGAAAAATATGTATTTCCTGTAATGGATCAGGGGTACGAATTGTTGAGGAAGTATGAGGTTGAAAATATCCCTGGCCTTGAGGCTTGGATGGAAGAGATGCAGGAGGAAAAACAAATGATGGCCGAGGATTTTTGGCAGAGGTCTCTTGCTGCCGAGGAGGAGCCGCTGAAGAAACAAACCAATTTGCAGAATGAGATTAAGCGGCTCCAAGACGAACTGAAGGCACAACATGAAGAATCCTCCAAGACTCAGGCCGAGTTCAAGAAGGCTCAAGAGCTGCTGAAGGTGCGGATCTACACCTAGGCAGAGTATGATGAGGGTTACGAGAACGGGTTCAACGTAGCTCGGCGGCTAGCCTTCCATGCCGATTATAATAATAATTGGGATCAAGTGGAGGCTTGGGCCTCGGATGACCAGGATGTTCATCTGAGGAATGCTAGCCAAGCTGAAATTTACTTCTTGAATCGTCAGGCAGAAACTGAGGCTCGAGAGAAGGAAGAAGCTGTAAGGAAGGAGAGAGAAGGCTCTTACTCAACCTGCCTCATCCTCAGCTGGTGCTGAATCTTCAGATGTAGCTGCGTTCCAGCTTGATCCATCCGATGTCGAAGCATAGGGACTCGGGCAACCGTCTAAAGAATCATGCGGGTCATCTCAGAGTTCAAGTTAGAATATGCCGCGTTTCTGCTTTTGCCTTGATCTTTTGCTTCAGCTTACCTCTTATACAAACTTTACTTTGTTTTTGACTTTTAAGTAGTTGTACTTAATTCGGCAGCTGCTTTTATTCGTCTTGTGGACGATTGCCGATTAGAATGTGTTGTCTTTTATTTCTTCAAACTTGGTTTGGTGTAGCTCGGTGACTCGAGCATAACTTACTGTTTTCAATGCACTACTTTCTTTCCCAACTGCCTTACCCCCTTTACTTAGTCTTGCAGCTTGCTTTTTGTTTGTTTTGCAGCAATTTTTTTTCTAAGTGTTGAGCTTTGGCTTGGACCTGTTTGGTCCCATTTTGTTAGTAGAGTAGGCCTGAGCTATCTGCTGGAGTGCTTCTTGCCCCCTAGAAATATGAAGTATCATTCTTCGGATTTCTAAGGTGTTTGCTTGGTTTTACTTGTGCAAACAAAATCCTGCTTCGCCCTGCTTTGTACCACTTACCAAAAGTTTTGAAGAATCTGGTCTTTTTTTTTTTTTTTTTTGAGGAATCTATGAGTTTGCTGCTCAGAAGCCTTGGGCCCCGAGAGCAGTATTCTCTCAATCCATGAAAATTTTTCGGGGGAATGACTATTTGAAGCACAATGCCGGAGGTTGGCAATGCCTCGAATATAACTTCTCTGAAACACGATGCCGGCGTTTGGCTATGCTTCAGATTCGTCCACGGCCCCTTTGGCCCAAGGAACTGATTTATCCGAAGTACCGTGCCTTCATATGGCTATACTTCGGTTGTTAAATCATAGTTACTTGTTGGGCGGGTTTAGAGGCAATCCGAAGTACAATGCCACTGCTCGGCTATACT